AGAGAAAGATAATTATATGATTTCACTCATATGTGGAATTTAAGAAACAAAACAGAGAAGCATAGAGGAAGGGAGGGAAAAATAAAACAAGATGAAATCAGAGGGAGATAAACCATGGGACTTTTTTTTTTTTTAAGATTTTTATTTATTTATTTGACAGAGAGAGACAGCAAGAGAGGGAACACAAGCAGGGGGAGCGGGAGAGGGAGAAGCAGGCTTTCCGCGGAGCAGAGAGCCCAACACAGGGCTTGATCCCAGGACCCTGGGATCCCAACCTGAGTCAAAGGCAGATGCCCAACGACTGAACCACTCAGGCACCCCTACATTACAAATCTAATTTTACATATGTTAAGCATATAATATAAATTAATAAATAAAAGACATAATCAATACAAAACAACAGAATGATGAGGTAACTATACAGAAAAACATCAAAGTTTGCAACCTTTTGTGTTAATTTTGGTATAATATTGTTAAAATATACATATACACTTGTTAAACACTTGCTTTTTAAGATAACATGAAAATTCACAGAATTTGATTAGATTCAAAACTAAACTTTATGAATTAAAATGGAAGAAATAAAATAAATTGACTATAATGCTATAAAATAAAAAAACTAAACATTAGGAGATTGTAAAAATACCATCTAGCCATTTGTAGAAATAGTAATTCTTGGCTAAAGGAGAAAATAAAAATAAAAATTATAACCGACTTGACTTTAAGAAGAAAAAAGGAAAAGGGTAAAAAAAAACTTAAGTATGATTAAATAAGCTTCAAAAACCAATAAATAAAAATTAGCTTCCAGAGGTAATTATTAACAAAAAATAATAAAACATAAGACACATTGAAAATGTGATTAAAAGAATAAAGCTTCTTTTATAAAAAAACAGAAAAATAATTGGCAAGAATATTCAGAAAGAGACATAGCTAGAGACACGGAGGAGATTAAGTAATTATACAATTTAGTTCTAGCAATAGAGATTCCCAAGATGTCTGTGTTTTGTCCAGATAGAGCACCATACTTCAGATTGTAGGTTTACATCTGCCAGTGGGTGTTAACAAGCATTTTCTTTGCATTTGTTTTGCTTATTTGGTAATTTTCTTCTATGCTTAGTTTAAATTTTTTTTAAGTTTATTTATTTAGTTAGTTAGTTAGTTTTGTAATCTTTACACCCAACATGGGCCCGAACTCATGACCGAGATCAAGTCACATGCTCCACTGACTAAGCCAGTCAGGTGCCCCATGTCTTGTTTAAATTATATAAGGCATAGATGTTAATAGTATGTTAGGTATTATAATGTGTAACTTTTTTTTCCTGGCATTTATGTGAAGTATTGTTTGCTGTGAGATATAGACCATAAACATCTAAACATTTATTTATTTTTTTGTAAATAGGCTCCATATCCAACATGGGGCTTAAACTCATGACCCTGAGATCAAGAGCCACATGCTCTATGGACTGAGCCATGCAGGCGCCCCTAAACCTTTTTTTTTAAAGATTTTTACTTTTTAAAAAGATTTTATTTATATTTAGTTATTTAGTTAGTTAGTTATAGCAGGGGGAGGCACAGAAGTAAAGGGAGAGAGAATGCCAAGCAGACTCTGTGCTGAGTGCACAGAATGTGATGTGGGGCTTGACTTGGGGCTCAATCCTATGATCCTGAAATCATGACCTGAACCAAAACCAAGAGTCGGACGCTTAACCGAATGAGCCACCCAGGCACCCTTAAAGATTTTTATTTTTAAGTAATCTCTACACCCAAGGTGGGGCTCAAACTCACAACCCAAGAGTTGCATACTGAGCCAGCCAGGCACCCCAAAACCATAAACATCTAGAAACAATGCACTTAAAATGAAAAGTAGTGTTTTACTTCCACTTGAGTTTGAATATTTTCCACCAAAAAATAACCAAATAACCAAATAGAGGCGCCTGGGTGGCTCAGTTGTTAAGCATCTGCCTTCGGCTCAGGTCATGATCCCGGGGTCCTGGGATCGAGCCCCGCGTCAGGTTCCCTGCTTGGCAGGAAGCCTGCTTCTCCATCTCCCACAACCCCTGCTGGTTTTCCCTCTCTCACTGTGTCTCTCTCTCTCAAATAAATAAAATCTTAAAAAAAAAAATAACCAAATAAATCAGTGAGAAGAGTGGCATTATTTTATATTTTGACAATCTCTTTAATCCTAAGTGTAACAGAATACAGCTGGTATTTTATATGTGCTCTTGCCTTTATTTATTTATTTATTTATTTATTTATTTATTTATTTATTTAAGAGGGAGAGAATCACAAGCATGCTCCACACCCAGCATGGAGCCTGACATGGGGCTTGATCTCAGAACCCTGAGATCATGACCTGAGCCGAAATCAAGAGTTGGACACTCAACCTACTGAGCCACCCAGGCGTCCCAGTGTGCTCTTGCATTTAATCCGCCAAGATAAAGAAAATCTGGACTCACACATCCAGAATTTAAAAATGAAGAAGTATTCTAATGGCCTTTTCAGATATTTGTCAATATTATTGACACTACACCAAAAATCAACAAGTGGTAATTTCTTAAATGTTACTGTAATGTGGAATCTGACCTTTATCTCTCTAAGATTGGTATTAATTTTAATTTTTTTTTGCAGTTTTTTTTTTAAGTAAACTCTATCCCCAAGGTGGGGCTCGAACTCATGACTCTGAGATCAAGAGCTGCATGTTCCATCAACTGAGCAAGCCAGGCACCCCAGCTTCTCTTAAAATCCATTTGTCTATCTTATACTTTAATATCATCACAGATGATCTAGTAGCATCACACAGTAATCATTTAGAAAATACTGGTTCAATGAGTTAGGCAGACCTTCCAAACGTTGACATATTTCATTATATGGTATTACAAAATCACATTCATTAATATCATTAGTAATCTCATCACAAAAGACTAAGTATTAGGAAGCTGTCAAGTTCATGGTGACAGATACTATTTTTTTTTTAAGATTTTATTTTATTTGACAGAGAGAGCGAGAGCAAGCACAAGCAGGCAGAGCGGCAAGCAGAGAGGGAGAAGCAGACTCCCCGCTGACCAGGGAGCCTGATGTGGGGCTTGATCCCAGGACCCTGGGATCATGACCCAAGCCGAAGGCAGCTGCTTAACAGTGGCTAATTTTTTTGTTTGAAAAGTCAAATTAACAAAAATTACTACCAGTTTTCTTTATTGTCAGGTTTTATAAATCACTTCATTTTTGACAAAATGTTTAGCAGATATACAGGTCTTCATCTTCTTATTCAAAATTTGTCAGGTGCTCTTTCAAATGAAATTGGTGCCCATAAAAAGGTGGCTAGTTCAGCTCACAACTCAAACAATCTATAAAAGTGCGTTTCCTGGAAACAACTTGATACTTCAGCATGAAGAAAAACTTTATGTGCCTTTCTCTCTTCATTACATAAAATACTTAGAAGATGAATATATATAGAAATTTTAATATCCTGGTTGTAACATTATAGTTTTGCAAGACATTACCATTGGGGTAAACTGGGCAAAGAGCTCATGGGATCTCTCTACATAATTTCTTACAAATGCATGTAAATCTAAAATTATCTCAAAATAAAAAGTATAATTTAAAAATTTTGTACTCAGGGTCAAGTTCAACAAAACTAATTTTAACTGTTTTATGAAGAACATTCTTAAGTGGAACTAGCATGTTTTTACCACAAGTGTGTGGTGGTAAAGAACACAAGAACTATAGTACAGTTTGGTAACACCATCCTGATTCAAGCTAAAGGCCCAGCAGTTTCCCCACCATTGCTTTTTGCACAATCAGTGCAAATTTCAGCACAAGAGAAAAAAGCAAATCAGGTCTTAGTGTTATAATGAAATTTGTTTTGACCATGTAGATCACCCAAAAGGGCCCCCAAACATCCTCTGACCACATTTAGAGAACCACTGATCCATAAGTTAAAACAGAATAGTTATATTAAAACTTACTGTCACCCCTTTTACTTTTTTTTAAGTAATCTCTACATCCAACATGGGGCTCAAATTCACGATCTCAAGATCAAGAGTCTCATGCTCTACCTGACTGAGCCGGCCAGGTGCTCCTGCCACCCCCTTTTGAAACAGATTTCAGTGGTGGCCATAACAGGCTTATGGATTTGAAGTGGTATTATTTCATACTGTTCATCATCTTTTCTCCAAATTTTTCTTCATGCAGTATAGTCTATTACTTAACCATAGGAGTGGTAGGATGGGCAGTGGTTGAGCTCGGGCACTTTTTCTGTTTGTTTTAAACATCTAGAGCTGTTATCTATCTCAGGATATGAAATATAGGGCACTGGTAGATAACCAGTCCAGACTGGAAAAAGAAAAATAAAACCACAAGATTTTGAAGATTCACATATATGAACACCATCCGGTGCTTGCCTCCTAATCAGCTTCCAGACTTGCACACAGGTTTTAATGCTAGGCCCAAGTGGAGAACTCAGGTGGCCTGTTCCAATTCTGTCTTCTGAGAAGTTCTAAGCAGAGGATCTAATGCAGATTTAAGAATTAGTACAGGTGGGGACTGGGTAGGTCCGAAGTATAGGGCGTCTTTCTACCATTTCCAGTCTCTGGTTGCTGTTCTATATAAATGCCTCCCCGGGTTTGAGTCTCTTTGAAATCTGTTTGAATTTTCAGATACCAGCAGTGCTTATTGTTGTTGAGAATTTTAAATAATTTAAGGCAAGATCTTTTGGATTTATGGACCGATTACATTGAAAACTGAAATATTTCAGGTGCCTGGGAGGCTCAGTCGTTAAGCGTCTGCCTTCGGCTCGGGTCATGATCCCAGGGTGCTGGGATCGAGTCCCACATCGGGCTCCCTGCCCAGCAGGAAGCCTGCTTCTCCCTCTCCCACTCCCCCTGCTTGTGTTCCCTCTCTCGCTGTCTCTCTGTCAAATAAATAAATCAAATCTTTAAAAAAAAAACCTGAAATATTTCTTCTTAAAGTTAAAAAAAAAACAGCAAAAGATACATGTTTGCTTTTGGAATCCTTATTTTTGTGACATCATTTTATGGAAAAGAGTAATTCAATTCTAAGATGCAAAGAGATTAAAACTCTCGAAGTATTTTTCTATTGAGACGGAGAAATAGCAGTAGGCCAGGATTTACCATGGGAAGGAATGAGAAGGGCAAGCCACACCAGCAGCTCCATCTAGGATAATATTTCATAATTCTTCACCAGGTTCTTCTCACTCCACTGATACTTAGATTTTGAACGAAAATTAAGACTCCTACACCTTGGGATGCCTGGCTGGCTCAGTCACTAGCGCATGTGACTCATAATCTCAGGGTTGTGAGCTCAAGCCCCATGTTGGGCAATGGAGCCTACTTAAAATAAAAAATTCAATTCAATTAAAAAGACCTCTGCACGTCATATTATCTGAGCTAGTGATTTCCTAACTCTAACTTTGGATAGTGAGATTTTGGAACCTATGTTTATTTTTTCCCTCAGTTGAGAGCCAATGACCCAAACACTGAATCTTGTACTTGCTATTTTCACAATAACTTGAAATCCTGCTTCCTCACTTTCTAAATACTAATATACAAGTGAGTTTGTTTTCCTATTTTTATATGGTTCTATTCTAGGTATCTGTCCACAGATAAAAAGACATGTTATTACATTGTTCTTAATATCCCGCCATTCCTCAAAATTTTACTTTCCAAATAAAACTCAGAATCATTTAGTCAACTTCTGTGAAAAAAAATTGGGCCTTGGCTCCGAATTATACGTGAATCTGTGGGACACCGCTGTTCTCAAAAAGAGAGTATTCCCAACCAGAGAAATCATATATTTTACAATGGTTGGAAAGATTTAAACCAAAGAATTACCTGTGGGATGTAGTATGGTAATTCAAAGAAGAATAGGAAGTAATTTCATTTTCTATTCCCATATATGGGTGTTTTCTTCATGAAAGCATAGGATACATTTCTAATCTAAATACACCAGTAAATAAAAATATCTTCAGTATGGATTCAACTTGGAAACCAGAGAGGGCCCCAGGAAACAAGCAAAAACGGTTACTTCTTCCCAAAACCAGGATAGTCACAGTCTTTCTCACCAGTCAGCTCTTTGCATGATAAAACCTTCTTCTACCCATGCACCATCTCTGATCCCATGAATTCACCATTTCCCAAACTCTCCCTGAAGCTGACTCTGCTGGGTCATGCTCTGGGAAACCAAGATTAAGTCAGCCATGGTTTCTGTCAAGTCTCTTGTTCTCAGAAGGCAAGGCAGACATTAAGAGATGAGCTCTAGTGTCGCTGTTTCTCTAACATCCAGGCTACTGTATAAGGAGTGTCCAAGTATTCTTGGGAAATGACATTAGAAGAGCCTCCATTCCCTAATTTCAACCTACTTAAAAGTACCCCTTCCATCACGTTACCTGACAGATCTTCCACAACCCACCACCCCCACCAGGGCATGCCAGAGCTCCTGAAAATGAGCCAGCAGTTCTCCTTCATGTGGCCTGGAGATGTTGACTCTTACCATGAGGCTCGTGAACACTGCTGCCACACATAAGATGTCTCCACTTTGGTGTCTGGCAATGGTTGACTTACTACTAAAGCCACAGCCCTAGGTGTGACTTCTGGCATCTCACGAGGTATGAGTCTTGGTTAAAGATTTCACTACACTCGTACATACAAGGTTTCTATCCTGAGTGTGTCCTCTGATGTCTGATGAGGTTTGATTTCCGACTAAAGCCTCGCCCACACTTCCTACAAATATAAGGCTTCTCTCCTGAATGTATCCTCTGATGTCTAATAAGGTGTGACTGCCGGCCAAAGCCTTGCCCACACTCCCTGCACACGTGAGGCTTCCCCCCTGAGTGTGCCTTCTGGTGTGTGATGAGAGTTAACTTATCACAAAAGCTTTGCCCACACTCCCTGCACACAAAGGGTATGCTACCTGAGTGTGCCCTCCTGTGCCTAAAGAGGTTTGGCTTCTGGCTAAACCTTTTACCACACTCCCTGCATATGAAAGGCTTTTCCCCTGAATGTGTTCTCTGGTGTGAAATGAGGGTTGACTTATCATTAAAGCCTCGCCCACACTCCCTGCATACAAATGGCTTTTCCCCTGAGTGTGTCCTCTGGTGTGTGATAAGGGTTGATTTCCTGGTAAAGCCCCGCCCACATTCCCTGCACACAAATGGCTTCTCCCCTGTGTGTGACCTCTGGTGTTTGCTGAGATTTGACTTCAGGCTAAAGCACTGCCCACACTCCAGGCATACATAAGGTTTAACCCCTGAGTGTGTCCTCTGGTGTGTCTTGAGGTTTGATTTCCAGCTAAAATGGCGCCCACATTCTGTGCATAAATAAGGCTTCTCTCCTGTGTGTGTCCTTAAGTGCCTAATGAGGTGTGACTTCTGGCTAAAGCTTTGCTCACACTCCCTGCACACATACGGCTTCTCTCCCGAATGTGTCCTCTTATGTCTGATGAGATGTGAATGCTGGCGAAAGCCATGCCCACACTCCCTGCAAACATAAGGCTTCTCCCCCGAGTGTGCCCTCTGGTGTGTGATAAGGTTTGACTTCAGGCTAAAGCTCTGCCCACATTCCTTGCACACATACGGCTTGACCCCTGAATGTGTCCTCTGGTGTGTGAAGAGGTTTGACTTCCAAGTAAAGCCTCGTCCACACTCCTTGCACACATAAGGTTTCTCCCCTGAGTGTGTCCTCTGGTGTGTGATGAGGTTTGACTTCCAGGTAAAGCCTCGTCCACATTCCTTGCACACATAAGGCTTGTCCCCAGAGGATGTCCTCTGGTTTTTGATGAGGGTTGACATATTGCTAAAGCTCTGTCCCCACTCGGAGTACACGTAAGGTGTCTCCCCTATGTGCATCTTCTGGAGGCTGAGCAGGTTTGACTCCCTCATAAAGCCCAGGCCAAACTCCCCATATTTGATTGCTCCAAATCCTGAGACTTCTACACCATGCAACACTTTGTCTGTTCCCCCAAGGACTGTCCTCTGGTCTTGGCTGGGCCCTGTATCCATCGCTGTGTTGTCTTGCTTGGACCTTACTGGCTGTTCTTGCCGTGGGCTGGACAACGCCTCTGAAGTGCCTCTTTTGCTTACTCTCCCCAACAAGGGCTTGGAGTCTTCTTCTGTCTCTTGAATTTCTGCTTTGTCACCCCAGCAAGTTTGACCAAAGAGTTGCTTCTGCTGCTGGTTTTGATCTTCTGGATAGTGCTTCCCCGGGGGGAGATGGTTTCCTGCACATAAACTTGAGAAGAGCTGAGGAAGGTGACTGAACCACACATGCTGGCTGAGGCCTTGCTGACTAGCGAATGCCAGCGGGTAGTGGGGACAAGGTTGAATGTTTAGCTTTGATCCTGCTGAAGAAAGAATATTTTGAGTCAGAGTAGCCACGGGTAGGGTGGCCGGGGCCATTTTGCTTTGCCCATTGGTCGTTTGTAATATGTTTATATCACAACCTGTCTCCCACTCAGACATCCTTGCATCTATAAGAAGAGCTACTTTTCATTCTACTTTATACACTACATTTTTAATCACAGGAGTTAGCAAACTTGTCAGGTAGGCCAAATTCAGCCTGCAACTTGTTTTTGTACGGCCCACCAGCTAAAAATGGATTTTACCTTTCTAAGGATTCAAAGAAAGAAAGAGAAATAAATAAATAAGCAAACAAATAAACAAACCAATGAGGCACTAGACTGCATGTGACCTGGGAAGCTTAAAATATTTACTGGGTGGCCCCTTACAGAAAAAGTTTTTGGCCCCTTGTCCTACTGCAATGTAGAAAACTCTGGGGCACCTGGGTGGCTCAGTTGTTAAGCACCTGCCTTCGGCTCAGGTCATGATCCCAAGGCCCTGGGATCGAGCCCTGCATCAGCAGGGAGCCTGCTTCTCCCTCTCCCCCTCCCCCTGCTTGTGTTCCCTCTCTTGCTGTGTCTCTCTCTGTCAAATAAATAGATGAAGTCTTAAAAAAAAAATGTAGAAAACTCATACCAAAAACTTACTTTCACAATACTTGACAGAGTAAATAGTTTACTTCCAGAAATCAACCAACACATACAATATATTAAGAAGTATTTATTCATGAAAAACACTGAACTCCGGATAAGAAAAGCGAGAGTCTGAAGCACGACTGCCTGGAGTTGCTCTCATCCGTCCGATCCTCCAGCTTGGGTGTTATGGTAGTTAGACTAGGACAGGTCATAAAACCATCAGTTCTGTTGCTGCTACAGGGATAGTCACCTGATTTGAGTGGAAGGTGAGAAACCAGTGCTGGGTGGAACTGTCAGTAAATGTGATCTAGGTGGTAAGTGAACAGGGAAGGCCACCAGTGACTGCTATCTGAGATTGCAGTCTTTCTTGGTTGGGACCAAAAGAAGAAGAAGAAAGACTGGTAGACCATCCAGAAATGCAGCAGGGGAAAACCTGGAAGTGAGAGAGCCAGGGAGGGGTTTGATAAACTCTCCACACAGCCCTGGCTGACTGGAAAGCTGTTTGCAAAAGCAGGGGAGATGGCTGGGGCCCAAGCTATGCACATAAGCCTGCCTGACAGAGACTATAACCAGGTACAGAGGAAAAATTAGAGGGATCAGTGGAAAGTAAAAAGCCAGACAAGACTTGGAAACTATCTGAACTTTGAATGACCTCCCCAACGCACCCATTTATCCATTGGCAGAAGTAGGGAGCCTTACTGGCTCAAAGTCTTTGAACACACCTATTGCCCACTGTTGCAGATCACTAAGCCCTGCAGACACAAGGCTGAAATCAGGAAGCCAGGATTAAAAATAAACACAAGAATACAATAACAAATCAAGCGGAAACATCACCTTCACAGAGAAAACTTTTTCCACATATTTAGTCTAGAAAAGTTACTAAAACTGGCAACAACGATATCTAGGCAGGAAACACCATCAGCTCTCAGAGGGGCTAAAAGATAGTATCTAAAATATCCAGTTTCCAAAGAAACAGGAAAGAGTGACCCATACTGAGGAAAAAATGCAGACAATAGAAACTGTTGCTGGGTGGCCCAGATGTTGATTTACAGGAGGAAAGAAAGTGTTCAAAGCTGATGTTATGAATATATTTAAAGAACTAAAGGAAAACAACATGTAAAAACTTAAAGGGAAGTATGGTAACTTAAGAAATAGAAAAATCTCAATAAAGAAAAAAACTATTAAAAAGAAATAAAAGGAAACTCTGGAATTAAAAAGTAAATTAACTGAAATAACAAAATTACTAGGAAGATACAACAGCATATTTGGGCTTGCAACAGAAACAATGAAGTTGAAGATAAATCAATAGAAATTACCTAAACTGAAAAACCAGGTGAAAGAAAGATCGAAGAAAAGCAAATAGCCCCAGAAATCTGTGGGACACCATCAGATAAATCAATCTATGCATAATGGGAACGCACGAAAGAGAAGACAGAGAGAAAAGAGCAGGAAAAAAATGTCTGAAGAAATAATAACTAAAAAGTCTGAAATCTGTTGAAAAACATTAGTCTATAAATCCAAGAAGCTCAACAAACTGCAAGAAAACATAAAACATAAAGAGGGTGCCTGGGTGGCTCAGCTGGTTAAGCATCTGCCTCCGGCTCAGGTCATGAACCCAGGGTCTTGGGATCGAGTCCCACATCGGGCACCCTGCTCAGCGGGGAGTCTGCTTCTCCCTCTCCCTCTGCTTCCCTCACCACTTGTGCTTGCGCGCAGTGCACTCTTTCTCTCAAATAAATAAAATATTTAAAAAAATTTTTTTAAATCTTTAGAAAAAATACTCCAGGGGCGCCTGGGTGGCTCAGTTGGTTGAGCGTTTGCCTTCAGCTCAGGTCATGATCCAGGCGTCCTGGAATGGAGCCCCACATCAGGCTCCCTGCCTAGTGGGGAGTCTGCTTCTCCCTCTCTTTCTGCCCCTCCCCCCTCTTGTGCTCTCTCTCTCAAATAAAATCTTTAAAAAAAAAAAAGAAAGAAAGAAAAACATAAAGAAAGCCCCAGAGAGATACATCATAGCCAAATTCTTGACTATCAGAAAAAAAGACAAAAGAGAACATCTTGACAGCAGCAAAAGGAAAATGATTCAACATGCACAGGAGGAAACAATATGATTAGTGCTAACTTCTCATCAGAGACAATGGAGTATGGAATGATTTATTCAAGGTGCTGAAATACAGGTGAAAAGGCTACTAAGAAAGAATTCTATTCTCAAGAAATTATCCTTCAGAAATGAAATTGATACAGATATTCACAGATTAACAAGTACTCAGAGAGTATCTGTTGTTAGCAAACAGGCCTTATAGGAAATACTAAATAAGCCTGTCAGGCTGAAAAGAAATGACACCAGACATTAACTCAAATCCACAGGAAGAAATGAGGACCACCAAAACTGGTAAGTATGTGGGTAAATATAAAAGACTACACATGTATATTTTTCTCCTTTCTTCTCTTAATTTCTCTGAAATGCGTAAGATTATTATAAAAGGTAATAACTCTAACACCATATTATGAGCTTTATTATATATATTTTTTACTGGAATGAAGTTAGTATTAATTAGATTATGTTAAATTAGATGCATTTTTAATGCCTAGAGCTGAATTAAGAAAATAACTACAAAAATTATATATAATATATATAATAAATAATAATTATTATTATATACACACACACCCAAAGGCAGGGGAATAAAAAAACATGAAGCACATAAAAAATAAGTAGCAAAATGGCAGACTTAAACCATATCAATAATTATATTAAATATGAGCAAACCAAACATTCTAAACAAAAGACAAAAAGTTCTTAGTTACACCACAAAAGCACAATCCATTTAAAATTTTGTTAAGTTGGACATCCCCAAAGTTTAAAACTTTTATGCTTGAAAAGACACCATGAAGAGAATGAAAAGACAAGCCGCAGACTTGTCTTTTTTCTGAAACTTGACTTTATATAGAGCTGAAAGTATGTGAAAACTGTATATCTGATATAGGACTGTGTCTAGAGCATATGAAAAACTCTTATAACTCAAAAAGAAGACAAAACAATCCAATTTAAAAATGGACAAAAGAACTGAATAGCTATTTTGTTAAAGAAGATACGCAAAGGGTTACTAAGCATATGAAAAGATCAACATAGGGCGCCTGGGTGGCTCAGTTGGTTAAGTGTCTGCCTTCAGCTCAGGTCATGATCTCGGGGTCCTGAGATTGAGTTCCGCACAGGGATCCCTGCTCAGCAGAGAGTCTGCTTCTCCCTCTGCCCCTCCTCCTGCTCATGCTCTCTCTCTCTCTAATAAATAAATAAAATCTTTAAAAAAGAAAAAGATCAACATCATCAGTCACTAGGGAAATGCAAATTAAAACCACAATGAAATACCACTACACACCCAGTAGAATGTCTGTAATCAAAATTAGAGACAATTCTAAGTGCTAACAAGGATGTAGAGAAACACACTGCTAATAGAAAATGTAGAAATAGAAAACAGAAATGAAAAATAGAAATACTAATAAAAATGTACAGCCACTTTGGAAAATTATTTTGCAGTTTCTTAAAAAGTTAAATATAAACATGTCATACAATCCAGAAATTTTACACCTACTTATCAACCCCCCAATGAAAATGTATGCCCACAATAAGACTGGTACATGATTGTTCTTAGCAGCACTATTCACAATAGCCAAAAAGTAGATACAACCCATATATCCATCAGTCTGTAAATGGGTAAACAAAATGTGTTATGTCCATACAATGGAATATTATATGGCAATAAAAAGGAATGGATTACTAGGCCACCTAGGTGGCTCCGTCGGTTAAGCTTCCCACTCTTGATTTCAGCTCAGGTCATGATCTCAAGGTCATGGGATCGGCCCTGTCTCTGGCTCTGTGCTGAGCACGGAGCCTGCTTGGGATTCTCTCTCTCCCTCTCCCTCCCCTCCAATACATGTGCACACTCAAAAAATAATCCAATCAAGAAATGGGCAGAAGACATGAACAGACATTTTTCCAAAGAAAACATCCAAATGGCCAAAAGACACATGAAAAAGTGCTCAACATCGCTCAGCATCAGGGAAATCCAAATCAAAACCTCAATGAGATACTACCTCACACCAGTCACAACGGCTAAAATTAACAAGTCAGGAAATGACAGATGTTGGCGGGGATGCGGAGAAAGGGGAACCCTCTTACACTGTTGGTGGGAATGCAAGCTGGTGCAGCCACTCTGGAGAACAGTATGAAGGTTCCTCAAACAGTTGAAAACAGAGCTACCGTATGACCCAGCAATTGCACTACTGGGTATTTACCCCAAAGATACAATTGTAGCGATCCGAAGAGGTACATGCACCCCGATGTTTATAGCACCAATGTCCACAATAGCCAA